TAAATTGAGTTCTCAAAAAGATTTCGATCATTTCCCGATTTTCGCAGTCAAAATATTAATTTCTGAAGCGCCGAATATTCGCTATCGCGATAGCTAGCCGCGCGAAGAGTGGGGATGGTTGGCAAGCGCTCCGCCGCCCGCGCCGCGCACACCGCCGCTAGCCCCCAAACGTCCGCTTCCCGCGGCCCGCGCGCCCATCGCGGCGTTCTGTAGGCGTACACTCAATGATGTGGTAGGCCGGACGGACGCGCGTATTTGCCAATCTTTAAAAATTAATATCTCGTTAACTATTGCTGCAATCCCAAAATGGTACAGGACTTTTCGACTCAGTATAGTCTGTTCTACCCACCCGTGAAATATTTGGCGGTTATTCTCGCCCACCCTGTATGTGCGTTATGCAAAAGCTTGTGCATGTCTGGGCTCTAAGTTTCGATAATTTTGAACAAGCTTTTTCGAGTTCGATCCGCCGTATGTGATTCCATCATGTTTTCCATATTGATTTTCGAAAGCTTCGTACGGATGTATATGGAAAAGCATATATTCAATTTATGGAATTTATTAATCGAATAAAACTTCTGGAAAAATCGAATAGAGCTATATCCGAAAAGCTCGTTTCTTGGAATAAGCACATTGAAAACATCTAATCGGAAGTTTCATATTTGTCCCGATAAAGCGACAGAACCTATCGGAAATATCGTATAGAGCCGTATAAGCGAGATTCGTTTCTCGGAAAATGCGCATTGATAACGATACGTATAATCGGAAGTCTTGTATTTATCCCAATAAAGCGACAGTACCTGTCGGAAATACCGTATAGAGCCGTATAAGCCAGATTCGTTTCTCGGAAAATGCGCATTATATATGCTTTTCCATATACATCCGTACGAGGCTTTCGGAAATCAATATGGAAAACATGATAGAATCATATACGGCGGATATATTTTCGAATCCGAAAAAGTGGGTAGGAAACTATAAGTGATCTATGTGAAATTCCGTATATATTCATATAAAGCATAAATGTTCGTATATAAAGCTGAATATTCATATACATATAATACGATACAACGTCGGATGATGTTCATATCGAACCCTACAGAAAACTATAGACGAAGAATTACGGAAATGAAAAGTCATATACAATACTATAAGTTTTCGGTCTTTTATACTGAAAGTCGTATATGATACATTAAAATTAGTGATATTCCTTTTCGTATTCTATCCGTTTCTTTAAGCAGGGAAAGATTTCGGTCTTTTATACGCAAAGTCGTATCAAGTCGTATGTGATACATTAAAATTAGCGATATTCCTTTTCATATTCTATCCGTTTCTATCGATTTTTTAAAGCAGGGATGCTTAATATCTCGGTTCGCGGGGCAGAGCGACACTTATATTTCTGCCATATTCTTCCGTTTTATGCAAACACGCGTCGAATGAGTCTAATTTTATCGAAATCGGAGGTTACTTACAAGACTTACTTTTCTCTAGGGATATGATAACATTTTACGCTCACAAAGATGGTGACCGCTTATGCCTAATTCATACTGGATGCGATGGGCGATGAATGATGAGCGATATCCAATAAAAGCTTTGCTTTAGCTCACACGACGATGTAAAGCAGAGTTCTTATTGGTTATCGCTCGTCGCGCATCGCTCATCGCGCCTAGTGTGAACTAGGCATTACTGTGAGCAGCTAATGAGCGCTCGCATCTAATACACAATCCTAGGGTGCTCACTAAGCGCTCAGTGAGCGGTTGTAGTACTGAATGCACCCATTAATCTAAGGATAGCAATATCGTTACCAATAAGCTTCATTGAGAGGAACTTCATTGGCCGATGGTTGTGCTTATCATGGTGGAAGTATACATGGTGTGCTCAATACTTAGTGACTTTTCAGTTTCTGATCTGAAAACCCATGGAGAAGCTGAAATTGTGCCAACCTGTTGAAAAAAAAATGAAAAGTAATGTTGGCAAACTTGTTTATCTACTTGTCCTTGTCATACCCTATGCAATAGAGGAAGACATACCTATATACAGTACGTATATGAAGCGGAGCAAGTGAATTTATAACATTAAATTGGTGCGTTGCGTGGTTAAAGTTTGCAGAAACAATAGTGATCAGTGCCGTAAAGATGTAAGTTTAAAATACATTTATGTACATTTATGTCTCTAAAATACATTTATGTAATTTGTATACAAAATAGAAGTTTCCTATTCACTGAATGTGCCTAGAATTCTTGAAAAGTGTAATTAAATAAAAACTTCAGCGACAAAAGTTTTTATGGCTTTTATGCACCACAGGCGAATCACAAGTTTAAAATTTTTATTTCATTATGCCTTTAATGAATTTTAAGCACCATTAGTGAATATGACACTCATATTTTCTTGCACAAATAATATTTATGTATTTTGGAGAGGCGTGGTAAGTCTCCAACATACAATCTTGCAACGGCGTAAGTATTAATGTGTTTTAGGGTCCGCTGGGGAATCACAAGCTTGAAATTTTTATATGTAATTACACTTTTAATGAATTTTAGGCACCTTTGGTGAATGACAACCTTACATTCTGTTGCACAAGTAATATTAATGTATTTTAGAGAGCCCTAGTAATTTTCAAACTTGAAAATTTGCAACGACACACGTATTAATGCATATTACAAACCGCTGGCGAGTCACAACTTTGAAATTTTTATTCCATTACACTTTTCATGAATTTTCGGGACCACTACTCAATATCAAACTTATTTTTTTTTGCACGAATAATATTAATGTATTTTAAGGGATCCTTAGTGAGTGTCGAACGCTAAATTTTGCAATGACAAAAGTTTCCAAGTATTTCATGAACCGCTGGAGAATTTGAAATATCGGCCCAAACAGCCAGGATGATTTTGTGGACTTTGAAGTTGTACTGTATTGATAATTTCAATTTTAGATTGAATATTTCTTCCGGGTTACAGTTCTACAATATTTTAGAGACCCCTCGTGAGTTTCAAGTTTAAAACTACTTGCGAAGAAAGATTTAATGTATTTTACAGGCCGGTAAAGAATATCAAAATAATTACTTTTTGACAAGCAAAGTTTTAATATATTTTACAGGCAATTAAAGGATATCAAACTAAAAACTTTTTGACGATGAAACTTTTAATATGTTTTGGAGACCGAAGGTAAATTTCAAACTTACAGCTGTTTTCTGAGTAAAGTCCTTACAGAGTTGCATAAGAAAGATTGGTCTAGCCGTCCAGGATCATTTCTGGTAGCAACTCCACTTGGCTTCAAGGAGGCAACCAGAAAGTCAGCCACATCGGAATAAATGTCGACAATTTCATAGCCAAAATTACCCAAGTCCGATGTTGGGATCCCCATCGCTGAGAATTTCACCAACGATACAATACTTTACATCTAAAACCTTCTTTCGAAGACAATTTTACTATCTACACATAACAATAATAATAATAATAATAATTTATTGAAACAAAATATAGGTCTACATATCAATATTATATCACATTGTGACTAGATATTGCTTAGCAATATCGAATATAAATACAATTATTTAAAGCATGCCACTTAAGAGCTGTTTGCTTAAGTTTTCCTTCCAAAGCATTACTTCTTTAAATTATGTGTTAAAATTTTTTTTTTTGGTAAACAGTTCTAACCAAACTTTTAATAACACATTTTTTTGATAATACTTAAAGTGCTATAATTAAAACTAAACAATTTGATTAATTTATATGTGTCATAATTAAATTCTTAAATATTTTTCGTTTCCTTGATTTTGAATTTCCGCGAGAATTTTGTCGAATATAACGAAAATTAGGCAACATAACAGACTTTTCTCCCGAGATTCTAGGAACTTTTTTAAGGTTGGTACCCTTTCAGCTCTTCGAAGCCAGAAAGCAAGCGAGACAAACGATTTTCGAGAGAAACACTAAACCAACTGAGCACACCATGTATACTTCCACCATGGTGCTTATACTTACTTAGACAACGTAAGCCCGGATCCTCATACGGACAACAGCGCTTTGACACCGGACGCTGATTGGTGAAAAACGGGTTATGGGGGTAAATTTTACCCTCGCCACCGGTTTTTCACTAATCAGCGTTTGGTGTCAAAGCGCTGTTGCCCGTATGAGGATCCGGGCTAAGAATTCAATCTAAATACAAATTGATAACATCCACCGCTGAAGATGGCAAAAAACTATTGCCGAAACGTCCGGAATAGCTCGTAATCGTTGGATCACGAATTAGATGTAATAAGTATCGTTAAATTATAACTATAACATTGTGACTCTATTTACCTGTACACCGATGTACAATTTTAAATACATAGGTTATTTTATATTTTGATTATTAATTGCGAGAGTCGTTAACTTGATATTGTTTCAATATTTAAAGTTTTTTAAACTATTCTTAAAAATAGATACAAGAATTTTTTCATAAGAAAATTTATTAATGTTAATTGACGTTTTCATGAATACTTTACATATTTTTCGTAATAGAATAACCTTTATTGTACACACACAAATACACTTATACACACACTTCTGTAATAATGACTACGTTTACACGACAACTATTAATTCAATTTAGTAACATCCGTAGTTATAATTCTCGAAATGTGTAAGAGAACCTGGTGTTCCTTTGATCAGTTGTATCTTCAACCATTTGAATTTATAAAAAATCTATTGGATATTTGTAAAAGTAAAAATATGTAATTTATAGTATGAGTACCGGAGGTGTTTTATAACTTAACAATCATAATAATGAAGATAATTATACTTCTATAAAAAATTTATTGTTTTTGAGTGTTTGAATGAAGTAATTTCAATATAAAGCTTTTTAATTTCATAAAATATTATATATACATTTTGTTTTATGTTGGAATTGCTTAAAATGTTAAATAGATATTCAGAAAAAGTTATTTAAAACTTAATACCGTTAATCTTAACTTATAATTTATAAAAGTAATAAGAAATAGAAAATGAACAAGCGTTGTATTTTTAACCAGTAAGTGATAATGTATCTTTGACCAGTCAATATGGTGTCGGATAATCATTTAGTTTAGATATTTCACCTTTAATGTTAATAAAATTATGCTCATTAGACGCGATTTTAAATAAAATTAATGAATCTGCCAGAAAAAGAAGCGTCATTCTGGCCCCATGAAGCGAGATATTAAACGTTGAAGTTGACCACTGCTCAGGAGAGAAAGAGAGATCTTAAGATGTAAAAAGATATTAAAAATATAAATAAAACTAAACTTCTGTTGAATATCTGATCTTTATACATACCATTTATATTGGTTAAAGGTATGGTATAACACTCCCTGGTCAGAGGTATACAACATGGGTGTTGTATCTTTGACCAAAATTCAATTTTTTTCTAATGTTAAAAAAGAATGTACAAAAAATAACAATTTAAATCTATAAAAAAATATGTTATTGTCAACATTTCAAAGAATATATTTTAGAATTTTTTTGAATTTTTAGACATCAAAATATAACTTGCACAAAAAATGTCAAAATTGATCAAAGGTACACCAGCTTCCTCTATTCGTTTATGTGAAACGGTTTTAAGTTTATTTTGTTTAAATAAAAATAATTGTATAACTCTTTGGTTATGCTATTAGCTCCGTATAATAGCATTCAAGGTTGGCATATATAAGTATTGTATAAATAATTTTATATGGCCTTTTAAAACCAGTTTTACAAGTTTACACCTCTTTAATTCGCTATTGGAAAAAATACTGGTAATTATGCACTTTAGGGGACCCAGCTCTGATGACCTTGACCTTGACATATGTTGTCAAGGTCATGATTCTGAGCAACTTTGCCTTAACAACTAGGCGGCGGTCTCTTATAGTTTTTGAGATATTTAGACCTAAAAGTCTAATTTCGTATAATACAATAATATGTCCTTCCGGTAAATATCTAGAAAATGGGGAACACCTACTTTGTTTGTAAAATACTAAATATGTTGCGAAGTGTATGTGTGCATGCAGTGGGTTCTGCTCCCCCTGCGGGGGGGCTCTATGACTGTTAAAAATAACCTAACTCAACCCATTTAGTGGTGAGATGTGGCTCTTGCTTCGCGTAGAAATTCGAAACCATACTACTGAATGGGTTGGGTTAGATTATTTTTAACAGTTGTGGAGCCCCCCCGCAGGGGGGGCGGAACCCACTGCATCTATGCATACACTTTATACACGTCTTATTTCTATGTTGTAAAGTTTATGTTTTGTTTCTCTCACCCGTGTATCTATTATTTTATCGAATAAAGTAGATAGTAATAGTATGCAACACTTATTTATTTTTCCAATGTCGGTGGATATATTTTGGCCATAATTTCAAAAAATACAATAATATGTCTTTTCGGTAAATATCTAGAAAATGAGAAACATCTACTTTGTTTGTAAAGTACTGAATGTTGCGAAGTGTATGCGTGAATGCAGTGGTTCCGCCCCCCCTGCGGGGGGGCTCACGACTGTTAAAAATAACCTAACCCAACCCATTTAGTGGTGTGAGGTAGATCTCGCTTCGTGTAGAAAATCGAAATCCATGCACAACAGTACAGCTGTACCAGTACAGCTGTTCGCCTCGCGAGTCCTTTTTAAGGTGGCGCTAAACTGTCTCCACTTTTTCCATGGGAGTTTGAACCCCCTGATTCACGCGTACATTTTACAACATGAAGCGACATGGAAGTTGCGAGCTCATTCGCAGAAAAAGAGATGGAATAAAAATTGCTTCGCACGAATACAGTAGGTTTCACTATACTGTTAAAAATAACTTCAACGCTTAATATCTCAAAAACTATAAGAGTCCGCCACCTAGTTATTAAGACAAAGTTGCTCAGAATCATGATCTTGACAACATATGTCAAGGTCAAGGTCATCGGAGCTGGGTCCCCTAAAGTGCATAATTACCAAAATACTTATGTTACACCAGTATAAATGATTGCTTACATGACACTTTATGTTAATAGTTATTAATGTAAGAGCTAGGCCGAGAAAAAATGTCAGGCGCTTCACCGGTGCTGAGACTTGAATCGAGGCCTTGAGTCGTCCACATTAGCAAAATAACCGTCTCGCCGCGGAGCTATACAATTCGACAGAAGAAACTTATAGTAGTTTATATCTTACAGCTCGGCGAGCTTGGAATATCATTCGTCCCCGAATGACCGACAAGATAGTGATTTTTATTTTACGGAGGCGCGTAGCCTCTTATTCGAATCCCACTGAGATTCAATGTCCGTTTCGATTCAATTTTTAAAGGAAAATTTCTTTTTTAAAAGTTACAGGTTTTCTTGACTGAGGGAAGTTGATTAAATCTCACTTCTGATACTGTAAGAGCTAAGCCGAGAAATATCGATGCTAGGACTTGAACCGAGGCCTCGAGTCGTCCACTAACAAGAAACCGTCTCGTCGCAGAAACACACAGCCCGACGGGAGGAACTTAGTTTATATCTTACAAACATTTTTATAACTACTGTTACTAAACCTGGCGTGTAAGCGTAGCAATTGATAGAAGCGTTGTTAAAACATTAGTCTAGAAGATTCGTTTATTTTTTTTCCCAAGATCTCGAGAACAAAATATTTTTTCGACATATTTCATCCAATTCATTGTACTCATAACGAGATGACTTCGGAGGGCACCTCAGATGATATAGGTCTAGCAAAATGGACGACAGAAATGCCCACTGTCCAGAAAATCATCCAATCTATGCAGAATTTCGGTTTATCGGACTATATTGCATTCGTTGGAATGTTGATCGTATGTGGTATTATTGGTATTTACTTCGGCTTCGTAAAGAAATCCTCGGGCGAAGATGAATACTTGGTCGGCGGAAGGAACATGAAAACATTTCCAGTCAGTCTCAGTTTGCTAGCCAGTCTTATGTCAGGTATAAATACATTTCGTATTTTGTGTGTTGTGTGTGTCTATTATTCATATATATATATATATATATATATATATATATATATATATAGGGCATTCCATCCCAAGTGTGTCACTCGAAAACTTTTGGATTTTTGATTTGGCTGAAATTTTGATATATTATAATACCCATCGCAAGAAGCTACTATGATTTTTTTCGAATTTTTTTATCAACATAGTCATGAGATGAATTTTTTTCAAAATTCGCAATTTTCAAATGCCTATAACTTTGCGAAAAATAATCCAAATAAAACGTTTTTTTTTTAAATTGTGTTTTTTTCTCTAGTTTTGAAAAATAAATATCAAGAAAAATTTCAAACTTGTTTTTTAATTTTTTTTTAATTTAATGTAAAAAATTAT